AGTTAATATAGTTCTCCTTTTTTAATTTATTATTTGGTGCATTTTAAATGTATTTATTTATTTATTTAAAGGTTTATTTATCTATTTCTTTTATTTCTAATTATGTCAGTGTTGGTCCTCCACACTGCAGAACATGGAACAGGTACGTAGTTCAGTGACTGAATCAGGTGTGTTGGAGCAGAGAAACATGTAAAACATGTAGGGCTGTGGCCCTCGAGGACCAGGATTGCTCACCCCTGCTCTAGCTTCAGAGAATTTCCTCTAAAAGGAGACATTTTAGTGTCACCTGCAGAGAATATGGACTTTATTACAACAAGTGACTGAATGTGGTTTAGGAGCAGATGGAGCTCAGTGAGTATTGTCCAACAAATTCATAATAATTTTATTTTCAACTGGGTGCACAGATCTGCTGAAATCAAGTGAGATAAAGAGGTGTAAAAATTGTCATTTGCAAAAAAGTACATTTAGCACATTAATAATTATTTTTATCATAATATGCTGTTTAGCCTTTTAATAGTCCCACAAAAAATGCCTAAAACGTCAGAGAAAAGCATGTTCACATTAAATTAGCTGTTGTTCTGGAACTCTTGGAGTACATTAAAAATCTATGTCTCGATGTAAAGGTAAAACTAGTCTTCTGCTCTATCAGAAAGTTGTAATGTTTATGAATGGATTTTAGTCAGTCATTCTTGCAGCACATTGCCATGATGGGAATTTGATTAGCTATGCAGCCGCATAGCTATCTATCACACTGTATACCTTCAAATTTGTATGAAAAAGAACAAAACCCAAAACAAAAAACTAAGTAAATAAAGAATCTCATTCCTCAGCTCCTCAGAAGTCAGAGGTCCTCGCTGCTGCAACCATAAACAGAACATCTGATATGCTTTGTTTAAATTAGAACTTGTAATTGTTTCTGTTTGTGTGTCAGACCTTGGCCTCGGTCTCTCCACGATGCAGGGTATAAAGATGATGAACAGCACTCTGTGAGGACGACCAGGGGTGAGTGAGGATTTGGAAGACGTGAAAATCATGGCCCAGAGTGTCGGCAGTCACCAGCAGCATTCCTACAAAGGGCAGAGTGACACAGTTAGCTTMAAAAATACGAAAAACAAGTTGTCTCGCAGCTGTTTGATGCTTGTTTATTAGGCTCTAAATACCAAGTTTTATGTGGTCATTTTGAGATTTTTCCACTTTTAAGTGTGCATGTTTCTGTACTGCATACCTTTTAAGCATTTAACATAAAACTTTATTACTCTTTATTTTCTTATATCAGAAAAATTCATGATTTTTTTACTGCTGAAACTCAATGATTCCAGTTCTAATCGCATAAATGATAAAAAAAAAAATAGGTTCAGAACATTTGATGATGATAAACAACTTTTTTTTGGTTACAGCTAAATGACTGACAAGATTCTGACATGAGGCAGTAATCAAACACATCTGTTTTGAGGCTCCAACTGTCTTGATTTTTTTTTTCACCATCTGGGACAAAAAATAAAAAATATGCATGTATGTGTGTGTGTGTGTGTGTGTGCACACGGGCAGAAATTCCCTACTATGTAGGGACCACAACCTACTTGTGGGGACCAACTGCTACTTATGGGATATCCCCATGAGRGGAAATACCATTGGTGAGTCACGGGTTAGGATTAGGACTAAGGTTGGTTTTAGGGTAAGGGGTCAGTGTTAGGCTGCAGAAACCATTGAAAGTCAATCCAAAGTCCTCATAAAGAAAGTAGCACTAGACCGTGACTGTGTGCATGTGTAAATGCAGTGGTGGGCAACGCTAATCCAAAAAATAGCTCCACAATTTCTAAAGCGCTTATGAAAATATTTAGGTCGACAATTTCTAAAGTGTTTATGCCATAGAAAAACTAGCAGAAGCTAATTTTAAAGCACAAGTTCAATTTGACACTTACTAGCTGGCAATAATTCATGTACAATATATGCACAACACAGCCAACTAGCGGTGTATAAACTCTTTTACAACTTAATTTACAACTGCATATTGCTGGGGATGTGATTTCCTGAAACAGAACTTTGGCTCCTGGTGTAAAAATTAAAAAGTTGTTGAGGATTGCTAGCTCAGCTGCTTCTTTGTCTTTTTCTTTTGTTTGTTGTAGATTTTTCATTAAATAAGTAACAATAAAGTAATTTTAAAACTGTTTATTGGAAAACGCAAGTGATGCATTCTGGGTACATGACGGATTTGATTTGTGACGGGAAATGAAAGCACGCAGTACAGGAAACTYTCTTCACTTCAAAATAAGAGCATGGATTATAAAGTTTTCCATGTAGTCGCTCCAGTTGACCACTAGAGGTCTGTCTTCATCAGCATAACATCTTTAAATTATTCTGTGTCCCTTCAGCTAACCCCGTTAGCTGTTGCTTCGACCATTTACGTCAAGTATTGAGCTCCAGCGTTTAAACTTTCTTTTAAAAAAAGGAGCTCCGATTGTAAAGTAAAATAAATCAATACATACAAAATCTTAGTATGGATTACAAACATTAACTGTTTTCGCCCGGTCACATAGTTCTAACCATTGCCTTCCAACTACGTAAGCAAACACAAAGCATTGTGGGAAATGTTTGTAAAATGAGAACCATGACCCAAAGCAACAGTCAGCAAGGATGAATACCTTTCCAATAATTGTTTTTGTCTGGGAGGGRTGCTGTTAGATAGATCACATGTGTTGTCATTCATTGTCAGCCGTACCTTCTGCTGTTCAAGATAATGATGATTGGTAGATAATTAGTAATTAGCGGTACTGCATTTTAATTTTAGAAAGTGCAAATTATTATGCTTATGATTTATAAAAWCTAGTAAGACCGCTAAAGTGCAAATGAAATATTTCAACCCATTCTCACAMCCGAGTCGTCACATATTGACGCTTTTCCAAAGTTCCCTCTGCGTCCGATTTTGACGCGTCCGGTACTCCCCTTGCGTCATTTTTTGACGAGATGGGGTGGAATCTGTTGTCATAATTTCTGAAAGTGTAGAAAATGCACAAAAAATACTGTCCCAAAGCCTAAAATTACCATTATTCACTTTAGACATCCTGTCTCTGAGCCTAGTACCTAAAATTAACCATTAACCCTGATACCTAAAATTAACCAGTAACCCTAGTACCTAAAATTAACCATTAACCCTGATACCTAAAATTAACCATTTTTAGAAAATGTAGGAAATTCATGTCAACTATGTGTTCCAAAGGCTAAAATTACCTAATATTCGCTGTAGACATCCTAGCCCTGACCCCCAGTCCCTAAACTTAACCATTAATCCTGATCCCTCATGTTAACCACGGACCCCCGACCCAAAGACCCCTGGTGGCACAACCCGGAAAAGCCGCGGGCGGCAAAGACTGACGCAAGGTGGGGGTCACCCGACGCGTCAAAATAAAACGCAGAGGGAACTTTGGAAAAGCGTCAATATGTTGACGAGTCAGGAGTGAGAATGTGTTAAATATTTAGGTCCGCAATTATCAGATTTTTACTTTAGCAGGCTAGCGCCCACCACTGTGTAAATGTAATGGTACAAGGGTAGAAATACACAGAATAGGGCTAACTACATTATTCAAGTGAAAGTGTTTTTCATTTTAAAGGAGGGCTGCCAACTCTGCCAAACTGCACAGGTCACACTTTAGACAGCATGACAGAATTATTGTCCCTTTAAAACAAACAAACCAGTTTATTGAACCAGCTGTCACTTGCTGCTGTCATAAAACACACGTTTTTCTTAGATGATAATTTGGTTTGGTTAAAGGCAGGGCTCAAGTCATGTGCTCTTTTATAGAGACAAGATGACAAGCGTCTACGAAGGAGAGAATCCTTAAATCCACTCATCAGTGCAGGGCTACAGTTGTGTGGATGCACAACAAACACAGGAATCTTGAACCACAGCTCAGCACAAGTGAAACCAACACTGACAGGCCTATTCATTTGGTCCCATTTTATTTGAAGCTCATCAAACTCTGAAGTATACGCTCTCACCAAAACAACATGCTCAAGAAACCACACCAGAACCAACCAGATCTGAACTGCCTTGGACAGGAAAAAGCCAGCTCTGCTTTTCAAACACAGCCTAAAACCCATCTCCAGCAGCCTTCAGAAAAGTTACAGCTTGGATGGTGAAACCAAGGAGGTTCTATAGAACAGAGTGCGCAAAAACCACACGACCGTGTGATCGGCTGGASAAGCTAACGGCTAACKCTAAATGGGCAAGACTCTGGATTTCCCATTACTGTACATGTTGACAACAGAGCAGAAATAAAGGACTGACGATGGAGAAATCATTAAAACTATTAATAATAATATTAATCCAATTATTATTAATATTTTACAGTTTATATAATCTGTGTAAAGTTTTAAATAATGTCAGAAAAGCTGTTTGTGTTATGGATTTATTAACAGAAGATAAACAGGAAAACGTCTCATTTTACAACACAAGTCAGCAGATTTGATCTTATTTAGCTCATCTGAGCAGAACATAATGTAACAGTTTAAAATTAAAATAATCTTATAAAGTCCATGTAATCACTGTTATTTATTGAACTGGTTAACAGATATTGTGGAGCAAATATACAGTGTATAGCACTGTTG